TACCCGGGGCCCGGCATCGGATTCTTAACCCCTTTATACAATCAGACAAAAAAAAGTTTCATCTTCAACAGATGCGTCCTGAGAAAACATTTTGCACGATCTCTTATAAATAACTTTAGGACTTTGGCACTTTGGCTTTCCTTGTTATTGCCACAATGTTATTGTCACTACAGCCAGTGGGAACTGGTATTGCTTTGGTGCAAAGCTCTGCAGCATTAGTGAAGATATGATCAATACAAGGGGATGTCACAGATCCGAAAGTATTGGTATACACTCTAGTTGGTTGGTTGAGTGATAACCTGGGTCATGTTACAGGCGTTAGTCACAGTAAGGAGCTTCCTCTTGAGAGTACAACTATACAGAAAATCAATGTCTCTGTTAGCATCAGAGGCGTTATCTAACATCACACACATATTCTCCAGATACTGACAGTTAGCACTTGGTGGCCTACAGCGTAGTGTCCCGTGTAGCTCAGTTGGTAGAGCATGGCGCTTGCAACGCCAGGGTTGTGGGTTCGATTCCCACGGGGGGCCAGTATGAAAATAAAAAATGTATGCACTCACTAACTGTAAGTCGCTCTGGATAAGAGCATCTGCTAAATGACGTAAATGTAAATGTATAGCAGTACATATTCTCCAGATGCTGACAGTTAGCACTTGGTGGCCTGTAGCAGTACATGTTCTCCAGATGGTGACAGGTAGCACTTGGTGGCCTGTAGCAGCACCCTAAATATAAGAGGCTTCATGTGAAGCAGGTGAACCTGCAACCACAGCACTTCTACTTCATTTGTCCTGAGATCCTCTCTGAGCTTTACAGGAATATATACAGCAAAACCTCTTTACTTATCTCTCTCTATCCTCTCCTCCTCTGTCAGGTTGTGGTGGTGTAGGTGTCCTCCTCGTCCTATGCGCGTGGTTGGAGCTCTCCTCCCCCTGTCCCAGAGACTGTATCTGCTACACCTCTCCCAGCACCGTGTCCTGTCAGGCCCAGAACTTTCTGTCTGTCCCAGAGGAGATCCCAGCCCAGAGCGAGAGGGTCTTCCTGCAGGTAAGAGCCAGTAGATTACTCAGTCTCCTGTAGTCTAGAAAATTAAAAGCCTTTGTATTTTTGGGGGGAGTTATTTTATGCACATTTATGCAAATGTTTTTAGTTTATAGTTTTATAAAATGTGTTTATTTGTTTATTTGATAGCCTTAATGTTTTAAAGTTGGTTTTGTAGCTTAATTGAGTGCCTTAATGGTTTTGTCCAGAGCCATATATTTAGAAATTTAATATTGTTCTAATTCTAGACATTCATCTACATAGAATTATTGAAATATCCCCCTTGTAATGGTAATGGGGCTCTAACACATTGTCTTATGCCAGATAGCGTGTTGATTCCGCCTGCACTGATCTGTCTCGTATCTCGCAAAGGGTAATGGGAGAGATGAAAAGTAGTCCGGCTACAACGGCTGTCGAACATAAAAAAATATTACCTAGGTGACATGGTCTGCTGAACCACATTTCTGCCTCATAACTGTCTGAATTTATCTAAACTAAAACAATAAATCGGTCAATAATATTGATGTTTTTTTCGTGAGGAAATGTTGTGCTTCACAGAGCAGTATTTTCTGAAGTTTGACAATGGCCACGAAAGCTAACATACAGTGCCTTTGGAAAGTATTTTCCACATTTTGTTACATTACAGCCTTATTCAAAAATTGATTAAATAAATCATTATTTTCAGCAATCTACACACAATACCACATAATAACAAAGTGAAAACTGGTTTTTAGATATTTTAGCAAATTTATAAAATATAAAAAAATGAAATACTATATTTATATAAATATTCAGACCCTTCGCTATGAGACTCAAAATTGAGCTCAGGTGCATCCTGTTTCTATTGATCATCCTTGAGATGTTTCTACAACTTCATTGGAGTCCACCTGTGGTAAATTAAATTGATTGGACATGATTTGGAAAGGCACACACCTGTCTATATAAGGTCCCACAGTTGACAGTGCATGTCAGAGCAAAAACCAAGCCATGAGGAAAAAATGAATTGTCTGTAGAGCTCAGAGACAGGATTGTGTCGAGGCACAGATTTCGGGAAGGGTACCAAAAAAATTACAGCATTGAAGCTCCCAAAGAACACAGTGGCCTCTTCCTAGAGCTTCCTAGAGCTGGCCGCCCTGCCAAACTGAGCAATCGGGAGAGAAGGGCCTTGGTCAGGGAGGTGACCAAGAACCTGATGGTCACTCTGGCAGAGCTCTAGAGTTCCTCTGTGGAGATGGGAGAACCTTCCAGAAGGACAGTCCACCAATCAGGCCTTTATGGTAGAGGGGCCAGATGGAAGCCACTCCTCAGTAAAAGGCACATGACAGCCCGCTTGGAGTTTGCCAAAAGGCACCTAAAGATCTCAGACCATGAGAAACAAGATTTTCTGGTCTGATGAAACCAAGATTGAACTCTTTGGCCTTTATGCCAAGCGTCACGTCTGGAGGAAACCTGGCACCATCCCTACGGTGAAGCATGGTGGTGGCAGCATCATGCTGTGGGGATGTTTTTCAGCTGCAGGGACTGGGAGACTAGTCAGGATCGAGGGAAAGATGAACGGAGCAAAGAACAGAGAGATCCTTGATGAAAACCTGCTCCAGAGTGCTCAGTACCTCAGACTGGGTTGAAGGTTCACCTTCCAACAGGACAACGAGCCTAAGCACACAGGCAAGACAATGCAGGAGTGGCCCAACCAGAGCTTGGACTTGAACCTGATCGAACATCTCTGGAGAGACCTGAAAATAGCTGTGTAGCGACGCTCCCCATCCAACCTGACCAAGCTTGAGAGGATCTGCAGAGAAGAATGGGAGAAACTCCCCAAATACAGAAGTGCCAAGCTTGTAGCGGCATACCCAAGAAGACTTGAGGCTGTAATCGCTGCCAAAGGTGCTTCAACAAAGTACTGAGTAAATCATCTGAATACTTATGTAAATGCGATTTTTCAGTTTTTCTTTGTTTTAATAAATTTGCAAACATTTCTAAAAACCTGTTTTTGCTTTGTCATTATGGGGTATGGTAAAAAAACTATTTAATCAATTTTAGAATAAGGCTGTAATGTAACATCATGTGGAAAATACCTTCCGAGTCCAATATTAGCTTGCTAGCTGAGCCAGTCACTGAAACCAACCAGATACCTACTTAGCGCGGCACACACAATATTGAATGCTTCCAACAAAAGCTAGCTAGCAAACTAGTAGTTGTGCTAAAGCTAACATTATTTGTTTTCATGTAGCAGCTGTTCTGCCGCGAGTCATTGTAGTAGCCTCAATAAGGATTTATACTATACAAGCGGCACTCGCCAAGCCACGCTAGCCTCGCCCTCTTTTCAGTTCGCTGCAGCTAGTGAATGGAACGAGCTTTAAAAAACACTCAAACTGGACAGTTTTATCTCCATCTCTTCATTCATTCGGGCTCCTGAGTGGCGCAGTGGTCTAAGGCACTGCATCGCAGTGCTAACTGTGCCACTAGAGATCCTGGTTCGAATCCAGGCTCTGTCGCAGCCGGCCGTGACCGGGAGACTCATGGGCGGCGCACAATTGGCCCAGCGTTGTCCAGGGTAGGGGAGGGAATGGCCGGCAGGGATGTAGCTCAGTTGATAGAGCATGGCGTTTGCAACGCCAGGGTTGTGGGTTCGATTCCCACGGGGGGCCAGTATAAAAAAATATGTATTCACTAACTGTAAGTCGCTCTGGATAAGAGCGTCTGCTAAATGACTAAAATGTAAATGTAAAATTCAAAGACTCAATCATGGACACTCTTACTGACAGTTGTGGATGCTTCGCGTGATGTATTGCTGTCTCTACCTTCTTGCCTTTGTGCTGTTATCTGTGTCCCAATAATGTTTGTACCATGTTTTGTGCTGCTACCATGTTGTGTTGCCACCATGCTATGTTGTCATGTGTTGCTGCCATGCTATGTTGTCTTAGGTCTCTCTTTATGTAGTGTTGTCGTGATGTGTGTTTTGTCCTTTCATTTTAATCCCGTAACCGCAGGAAGCCTTTTGCCTTTTGGTAGGCCGTCATTGTATATAGGAATTTCTAATAAACTGACTTGCCTAGTTAAATAAAGGTTAAACAAATAAATAAAATACAAATGTGGGTGCTAACAAGCTAGCAAGCAAGCTAAGTAGTGCTATGTATGAACAGCCATTGTCAGCCAATCCAGTATGGGTTGGAAGCTATGGTGAGCTTCGATTGGTCACTTGTGTCACGATATCGCGTTCAGCTTTACCCAACTTTAGTCCCGCCCTGTTCAGCTCCCTCGCCCATGCTCGCATCGCTCAACGGTCCCCCGGCCCATTCCACTTTTCTCACTTTCCTTCCATTGAAAGTGAATGGCTTCTGATGTTTCACCGTGCGATGCCTTCCTAGTATAAACAGGCCTTCAGGCTACTCAGCTGACCCAACGATGCAAAGTTACAAGTTAGTGATCGCGGAGAAACATGCTGACTTGCGGACTGATTTCTGATAACAGTCCACTCTGGTTTTGTCTAATTATAACTTCCAATGTTCCAATCAGTCAATACCAGTTTTCAAAGAGCACCTGATCTGCCACATCCCTAAGCAACGCTCCCATCCTTTGTTTCTCTCGTTCCTTCCTCTATTCTTCTAGAACAACAAGATCCAACGTCTCCTGCGAGGCCACTTCAGCCCCACCACGGCCATGCTGTGGCTTTACTCCAACAACATCTCCTACATCCAGGCCTCCACCTTCCACGGCTTTGCCCGCCTGGAGGAGCTGGACCTGGGGGACAACCGTCACCTGAGAGCCCTGGCTTCAGACACCTTCCAGGGGCTAGGCCGGCTGCACGCCCTGCACCTCTACCACTGTGGGCTTCTCAGCCTGCCATCTGGGATATTTGAGGGGCTCAGCAGCTTGCAGTACCTCTATCTACAGGTAGGGGAATATAATATAAATCGTAGATATATTACACACATCATGGGTACAGTGAGAAGCCAGCATGTGTAGGCAACAATAATGAAGTGAACACAAGCCTCCCTGACACCACATCCTTCTTACACAGTTGTATATTTGCCTTATAGGCCTTTAGATGTTAGATCTTAATTCCTCCCCCCTCCCCAGGACAACCAATTGGAGTTCCTGGAGGATGATCTGTTTGTTGACCTGCTGAACCTCAGCCACCTCTTCCTCCATGGCAACAAGCTATGGTCGCTCCACCAGAACACCTTCAGGTGGGACACACCTTTTTGATTGATTGATTTAGCCGTGCTTTTACTTAGAATGTGTCCCAAATGGCACCCTATTGATTGACCGCTGTCCCTCCAGGGGTCTCGGGGTGCTGGACCGTCTCTTGCTGCACCAGAACCGTCTGCAGTGGGTCCACCGTCTGGCCTTCCACGACCTGCATCGCCTCACCACCCTCTACCTGTTCAACAACTCTCTGACTGAGCTGTCTGGGGCCAGCCTGGCCCTGCTGCCTGCTCTAGAGTACCTCAGACTCAACGACAACCCTTGGGAGTGTGACTGCAAGGTCGGACACAGTTCAAACACACCTTAAAACACACTTTCAAAACACACTCAAAACACACCTTCAAAACACACCTTAAAACACACCTTCAAAACACACCTTAAAACACACCTTCAAAACACACCTTAAAACACACCTTCAAAACTCATCTCAAAACACACCTTAAAACACACCTTCAAAACACACCATAAAACACACCTTCAAAACACACCTTCAAAACACACCTCAAACACCACACACCTCTTTCAGCTAGCCTTCCACTTAAATCAAATGTTTACTTAGGCCAGGATTCAATTCAAGGCGCATTGCAGAACGCTTGACATTTAAAGGTAATTTTCAACTGAGCTGAATGCGATCTCTGTGAACAGAGAAACATTGCCTTGGAAAAAGTGCATTATCACCAATGCTCTACAACACGCCTCGGATTGAATCCCGACCTAAGTGAACATTTTATTGACATCAAAGTATGACTAAGCGAATTTCGACTGAAGGCGAATCTAGGATTTGCCCCAAAGGGCAACAATGTGCCTTTGAATCCCAGCCTTAATGTAATGTGTCCTTGGGAGTTTTGAAAGGCATCTAATATAAATGTATTATTATTATTATTGTTATTATTGTTAGTATTACTATTATTATTATTATTATTATTATTATTATTATTATTATGATTATTATCCAGGCCCTGCCGCTGTGGGATTGGCTGCGGAGGTTCCGGGGCTCCACGTCCTCTCTGGGTTGCGTCTCTCCGCCAGAGCTCCAGGGCCGGGACCTGAAGGGGCTGAGGAAGGAGGACCTACCCAGCTGTTCAGCAGGAGAAACCCAGGGAGGAGGTGTCATAGGCGGGGAGCCCGAGCTGGGGGAGTCCCTGAAGAAAGAGGAGGACCATCGACTCCATCACAGGAACCACAGGCACCGCCATAACCACCACCAGCACCCACACCTCCCACACGGGGACCAGCATAATGGGGACCCGTCCCCCTCGCCACTACCCCTGCCCAGGCCGCCCAAGGGGAGCCGCAGGAACTGTACCCGCAACAGGGGGCGTAAGGGGAAGGGAGGGGGTCAGGGGGGCTTGAATGAGGTGCAGGCACTGAGGGAGGGGGAGGAGAAGGACAATGCCCCTGGAGGGGGTAAATATGACCCCTCCGCCCCCCCTCGCAGGAGGAATAAGTGTGTTCCCAGGACTTCAGTTGGCCCGCCCAGCGGGGTCAAGAGAGCCAATAGTAATGCAGTGTCCCACTCCGCTGGGGCTTTTCTCGGTGTCCTATTGGCTGTGCTGCTGTCACTCACTGCTGTGATCCTCCTCTGAGACTGAGAGGAGGGTGATTTAGATCAACCCCTGCAGTACAGTACACACTCCCCTGAATGTCAGACCCACTCTGGCTCCTGCACTGAGGCGCACGTGTGTGTATGTGTGTGTGTGTGTGTGTGTGTGTGTGTGTGTGTGTGTGTGTGTGTGTGTGTGTGTGTGTGTGTGTGTGTATGTGTGTGTGTGTGTGTGTGTGTGTGTGTGTGTGTGTGTGTGTGTGTGTGTGTGTGTGTGTGTGTGTGTGTGTCTGTGTGCGCGCGCGCATGCATGCGTGTGTGTTTAAGTGTACTCTGTTGATGTGTACCTGTAACATATAGCAGGGAAGTTCTTTGGGAGTCATAACTGAAACGTAACAGGTTGCCCGTCGCTACGATGTCATAAGGGGGAGTAACAGTCTGTCACCTCCAAGGTTCTGATTGTGTGGTTGATCGACTGAACTGATGATTTAAGAACACACCTACTGCTACAGCCATGTCACCTGAAAGGATACCTCAGCACAGACATATGATAAGATGACCCTGACACATGTTGTTGCCAAACTGTAAAAACATCCTTAAAAACATGAATCCACTGGGTTCTGTAATGCTGTGTTTGTAACCCGTGTAAGTACAGTGTGGTTTGTGTGAACAGTCTCCATGTCTGTCTGCCCACTTTAAAACAAGCC